CACCGCCGCCCTCCGCGCTTGGGGTGTCCGCGGAGCGCCCGGTGCGCGGCCTGTGGGGCCTGCTGCCAGGGGCGCTGCCCGAGCGGCGGGAGGCCTCGTGAAATGACGTCCCGGTTGTAACGTCGGCGCCGCGAGGGCCTCCCCGGGTGGTACGAGGGCTGGCGGCGAGTGTGGAGGGGAAACAAAGAAAGCGCCGCTCGGGGAAAGGCCGCCACGGGGGGAGAGCGTCGTTCTGCCCTCGGGGTGCAGCTCCCTGCTGCTTATTTTGGTTTTGCTTAAAAAAAAATGTGGAAATCGCATAGTGCATTTTCTCACTTCGAGAGCTGGYCTGATTAGCGCTATGTTAGCCATCAGTGCATGTGCAACATGGAGATGATGATGCTCAGGCTGTTAGAAAAATCAGAGTAGGCATTTTGGATTTTTTTTCTGTCATTTTTTATTATTAGTGTTATAATTTGCCAATAGGAAGGAAGTAAAAGTATACAAAAGTCTCTTTCTCTTTCTGTAAATCCTCTGTAAGAGTGACTTTTAAGTTGCAGTGTCTGTAGAATTACATCTCAACAGTATTTTTTCCCTCTTGCTCAATAGCTCTGACTGCAAAGACTGTTGAAAAATATCCCCACTCCATCTRTTGTGTCCTGGAAATCGTCAAACCGCTAATGACCTGTCAGCTTGGCCAAAATCTGGACTTACAGATGTGTGTGGGGGGAAAAAAATATATGTCTATGTTGTATATTCCAGTTACAGCACTGGATTTATAACTAATCATTATACGAGGAAAAGAGTTTTATTTTTGTGGGGTATTAGTTGATACATGTTTTGCATGAAACTAGTTATGCCTGGTGGAGGAATTCCATCAAAGGTACTCTTAGTGACATTCTAGTTCATTATATGGAAGAATATTACATTAAACTAGCAAATTGGAGATACAGTTTCATTATCATCCCCTTTGTTTATAAACCTGAAACTCGCTTTGGAATATGATACTGCATTGTTGTGTTTATTTTGCCTTTAGTGGTTCTTATTCCAAAATGTTTCAGTGATACGGGCAGCTATTTAAGTTTCAAACCTGCAATTGAGAGGCTACATAAAGGCCTCTGACAGGTCACTGACTTATTTGCATCTGGTGGGAATTGTGTTTCTTCACGCAGCAGGGGCCTTGCTAGAAGGATAAGAGAGAAAAAAAAAAAAAAGCATAAGAACATAGTTGTGGAGAGAAACAAGCTCTGAAAGCAAATTTTAAAATGCTAACAGCTTATTTTTATATATACATGCATGCAAAAAAAGTTAATATTTTTAAGTAAGCTTCCTGCTTATAAATAACATSTAGTATTTACAGTCTATTAAATTTGCTTTATTTTTAAGCAAACTGAGTGGGTGCCCGGATATATGAGTGGATTAAGATGGGTATATAGTGCTTGATGATGATTATATTGATTAGCTAAAGCAAGAAACTAAAATACAGCATGCATTAGATACCCCCAAAGTTCTATTTCTGAATAGGCTTGAGTTCATTGTGACTATTACAAGATATTTTACTTTTTCTAATCTGACTGCGACCTGCGGTTTATTAGCTTTGATAAAGTAATAGTGACATAAAATTGTGTAATTACTGCAGTTGCACCCAGATAACTGATGTGCATTGAAATTGTCATCTGTAGGAGATGGTGATGAAATAGATGTTCCTCATTTTCAAACTTCAGTCTACTGTAAATGTTAAAGCCAAATGTCCTAGAAGTGTCAACATGTTGACCTGCAATAGATTTTTGTATGAAACTAAACCGTCCGAACAGATTTGCTGAGCATAGGAAATGAGGTCAACCTTAAAGTTGCTTCSTTCTGAGGATGTTTACTTTGTATACCTGAATAGCAATACATGAAGAAATACAGTTATACATAATACATGAAGAAAAACAGTTTAGAAAATGCCATAAACAGATGGTGAAAATGAAATACTAATAAGAATATAGTGGTTCAGCAATGACGTTTTAAAACTAAAATGGCTTTAAAAAATCAGAATAAAAATACATAATAAAATGCTGAAATTTCTTCAGTCAAATCTCTGGTAGCTGTGATAGACTTTTAGAAGATAATTTATTCATTCTATTCCATTTTACATGAATTTCAGTTGCTTTTTTAATTTTCAGAGACAAAATTTAGCCTTACTAGGTTATAAGAAATGAGTTAAGTGAGTTTTTTATTGTTTTATATGTGCTTTTAGTAGATGAATAATGGATTTGTACRTGCAAATTACAAATAGCTGAACATCAGTGCTGCAGATGAGGGCTCTCCTAGGTACCCCTTCTGGATGTTGCTCATGCCTGTGTAAGTTTTTGGAAGGGACCCAAAATTTCATGAGGGCAGCATCAAACCTTAAATAAGAGGTTTAGCTTGGTGCTATTGACAGGGTGCTGCCAAGAAATTGAGGCGTGTGGAGATAAGCCTCACACCCTGCTCCTCCCCTATTGTTCTGCACACTGGATGATGTAATGTTTACTTCAAATAGGGCAAACTGTGGAGCCTGGAAAGYTATGAACATCAGATAAAATGTAAAATATCTGGAAATCCCTTTCTCTGAAATATTTTTTCCATTGATATAATAATGCTAATCAAATGGCTTGAGGATAAATCTGTTCTTGCAAGAAGCAAGCTTGAAATGCCTCTGGTGTAAATGCCAGCACAGCCCTTGAATTTCTAGGAGGGTGTTCTGCTTTTATTGCTGTAATGCTTGCATTTCTTTGTGCTGTCTCATGTTGACTTTGAGATGAGGTTGTTATGATCTAKTTTTTTTTAAGCTACTCTTGGCAGTAGCCTTATGGTTGTTTTACAACTGTAGATGGCTGTGATGAGGATAGAGACAACCACTGGGCAGAATGAAGTGTAGATCTGAGATCAGCTGCTGCCRTACTAGTAACTAGCAGGAGATGATGTATGTGTTTGCTTCCCTGAGAGTGTGAGACACGTCTTGCAAGCTTAGTAATTGATAGTTTTATTTATTTTCTTATTTTTTAACTTAATGTACTTGCCTGTTTTACTAGGAAATAACCATAATAGTGGTTGGAATTAAATAATGAATCTTTTTAGCTCAGAAGAAAATCACATTTTACATACATAGATTAGGTATGAGCCTAGCATCATACACTTTGCTTCAGAGATAAAATACCCCATTTCAGAATAGAGATAGTCATTGCTAGTACCACAGTTTATCTGGAATTGCCTTATGTGCTATCTTATATCTTCTACTGTTTTCACAGTTACTGTACAAACTGTCAGAGCTTTTCTGAGGTCAGAATTTTACTTATAGCATTAATTTTGATTCTTCTCCTTTTTCTTATAGGTAGAGCAAGTGAAATTGCTAGACAGGTTCAGCACCAGCAATAAGTCGCTAACGGGAACTCTGTACCTTACTGCAACTCATCTCCTATTCATAGATTCCAGCCAGAGAGAGACCTGGGTAAGCATAATGGGTGCGTGTGGCTCCAAAGCACATGTTCTGCAAGTGCTTTTGTGCTGCCTTCCGCATCTGAGGTTGAATTTGTTTACTAAAACAATTTCTTAAGCTATGTTTTTCTTCATTCTTTTCTTATTTATGGCATAAGTTAAACATTTACAAACTATGCTTCTACTGTGCTAGGAATAATGTTTTCTTCTAAATAGTCTCCATATTTATCCCTGAACAAATGTGTGGTATTTTTCTTTAAATCCTTCTGACCTGCGTTGCAATTTGGAGGTAGGAGTATCTGCACTACTTGTACCTTACATTTAGATCCCGCCTAAATTAAATGAGACAGCAAAATCCAGAGGTGTATGGTCTGTTGAGATATTGGGGATTTCACATGCCTTTTCAGAATGGTGAGCAGCTATTTCTTCCAAAGAAGCTTCTTAAAAGATAAGAATTTGGAAGGGGCTGCAGCTCTGTGATAATGATGATGTTATAGGGTCAAAAGTGGCTAGCGCAGTAATGTCCATTAGTTTCCCTGCTCCGTGGGAGCACAGGGAGGCAGCAAGTTGTAGCAGCCAGTGTAGTGCAGCTCTGTGACTGAGCTGAACACTGCTAGGTCCATACACTTGAAATTTATTCAGGACAAAACCTTTTTTCCTTAGGAATGGCTCCCCCTTGTTTGTTTGTCCTTGTATTTCTTTCTGTGGTTAAGATTTCTCACCCTTAATCCTGTGTCCCAGTTACCCGTTTTGATGCCTCATTCTGCTTTATTATTTAAGTCATGTTTCAGTAGTTTGGTTTTAGATGCAGTGTGTGATTTTATTAAAAAAAGATAAAGTTATTGTCCTTTCATATGAAAGAAGCTGTCGGGGAGCATATGATTCGGAAGCGCTGTCTGTATCTCAACGTGCACTGTTCTTCTTGCTGAGCTTTTTTAATTAAACCTGTATGCAAAGTGTTGGATTTTTGTGATGCTCGCACAAGCACCAAGTATAACTACAATGTCTCCAAGGTGTAGACTCTTCATAAATGCCTATTTGGCAGCGTAGTTTTCAGATGCCTGTCTAATTCTAATCAATATTTGARAGGAGGAGATTGCTTCAGGAGGTAGCTGAAATGCTGTGGAGAACACATTGCTTAGCTGAGAGAATGGGTCTCTGGACTTCTTCCAGAGATTGATCGGTTGCAACTTTCTCACTGCTTCCCTGTGCTCTTTGTAGGTCTGCCCCAAACATTGAGTAAGTTCTGTGGAGGGGCTTTGTGTACCCATTTCTGTGGCTGTCTTCTGTTAAAGCGGTTGAAAGATTTTTAGCTGAGTTCACAGTCTTGTCCACTCCCTTCTCTCCATACCTTTTGTGTTGCCTCAGTTGCCCTCCTGGCTTGAAGGGTAGTAGGGCGAGCCTAGTAAAGTGGAGACTGATGCACAGAATGCTTAATGTGAACTACACTGATGGGCATCAACGAATGTCAAATACTGGAGTTTGGAAGTCTTTRATCATCTTTTAGTAGTCCGTTTCCTTTAAATTCTGAGACTTCTGTTCTTTGTAAACATTCAAGTATTTTTTCCTATTTTGTCTGGATGATGCATTCTTTTTATTATGGAATGTATTTCCATAAACCTTTACAAAAAAAAAAGAAAAAAAGCTGGTAAGCCCTTTGGCCCCATCTCATTACCTTTTTAGATGTTAAGCTTGTCAATTAGTAAAGTTAGAGAAAAGGACTAAACAACCACAATTTACATCTACTTCTGGATTTTGCACTTAAAAGGGTATTTATTGCTTGTTACAAATATTTAGATGACAGCTTTATTTAAAAAAAAAAGTGTGATTTTTTTAACATGTTATGGTAGGTAAACCAAAATGTGAATCTCATCTGTCTCCTTATAACTGAAGGATTGCCAACAAGTCAACATCTCTCAGAAGAGCTTAATATGTTTGTGTACCTGCTTTTGCAATATGTATGTACCTTCCTATTGACATTATTCATTGGTACCCTTACACTTTGAGTGCTTCTCTGCCATAGATACTACATCATCACATTGCTGCAGTGGAAAAACTTCCCTTGACCACTTCTGGCTGCCCCCTTGTGATCCAGTGCAAGAACTTCAGGATTGTTCATTTTGTTGTTCCCAGGGAGAGAGACTGTCATGACATTTATAATTCTCTGCTTCAGCTGTCAAGAACAGGTGAGATTTTCAACTGCAGAAGACATCCAGTATGTGCCTGGATAATAAGTTTGTGGGAAAAAACCTTTTTTTTCTCTGTACCCTTTTTTTTTTTTCATTTGTAAATGTGCTTGATGTGAGGTCTTTGAAGTGGCTTTGCTATGAGAAAGAATAGGGTATTGATCTTTGGATGTGAATTTGGAAGTTGTTGCATTGTCTGGATAGGAGCTTGTGGGGTTCCAGTAAAACCTGCATTTACAATGTCATTGCTAGAACAGTGGCCGAATGCCCACAGTTTCTCATAATTGATGAGTTTAAATAGATAAAATGCTATTGAACAAGTATTTTTGAGCTTCATGCAGTTTTAAAAATGAAGCTGAAACTCTGATGCTGAAGTAGCAATGCCAGTTTAGACTTAGAAGGCTATTTTTGTCAGTTTTTTTTTAATAATTTGGAAAGAGTATATTAGAAAATCATATATTTTTTTAAAAAGTTTTATCTTGCTCAATTAGAAAACTTAAACTTATTACTTGTGAAGAATGAGACTTGCATTTCTGTTCTTACCTCCAAAACTGATTCTTATCTTCTTAGCTTTTCTAAAGCTTTCTAACAATTCTTCAAATTTTTCTTAATTGACGGTCTTCAATTTCTGACCTTTGTTTTGTCTGTATGGCACTGCTGAAATACCATGAGCAAACTCTTTCAAAAAATTATCTCTTTAACTAAATATTTATAACTCTGTAAAATACTTGCACAAAAGTTGCAGGTTAAATATTTTCAGAGTACTAAATATCTTTTCAGTTTCACATGTGAGAGTCTTAGAATCAAGTGAGTTTTTTCTTTTTTTTTTTTTTTGTGCAATTTGGGCAATTTGAAGACTTGTATTAAACAAACCCACTTTGAACACCCTGTCTTGTGGCAGGAACCTGTGAATGAATATTGCTTTCTGGAGATGGGTCCCTAGACATCTCCTAAAGACTCCATGAAGAACTAGAACGCTCATGAGATAGATCTGGAGGCTTGATGGGTGCAAGGGGAATTGGACAGTCCCACAGCAGGAAACAGATGTCTTGAGAACTGGTGTTATTAGATAGAAAGAAATTTCATAGCATAAGAAGTTGGAATGCGCATCTGAAGACCCGAGGTGGCTGCCTGAGATACAGTTAGCAAGGTACAGATAAGGGATTCTGCGTGAGAGCACTGCAGTTTTCTGGCATCTCTTTTAATGTTTTTGAATGAGACTCAGCTGGGTAACATCCCTACCCAACATCTGGGGGCCAGCTTGTTATGTTCTTTTTTCTCTTTTACCTTATAGCACAATATGATGAGCTGTATGCCTTCTCCTACAACCCAAAACAAAATGCATCTGAGCAAGTCAAAGGCTGGCAACTTATTGATCTAGCAGAAGAATATAAGAGGATGGGAGTGCCAAATGCTAACTGGCAGCTGACYGATGCAAACCGTGAATATAAGGTAATGGTTTGATGGAACAAGTTGTTATACTTTGCTTCTCGTTTGCTGTCTCCTCTGGCTCTAGYCATATTGAAACACCAACACTCTGAAAACCCTTGGTTTCTTGCATAAGGTAACTCTTTCCATCTGCAAGTCTTTATCTCCTTAGTGGTGGGGGACTCTTTCACAGCCGGTTCATTGAAGGTTCCTGCAGTGCCTGAGAAGAGGGAGCATGTGCATGGGCACCCGTATTCTTACAGTATAAAGTCCCCTCAGTTTGCTTACCTGAAACCCAGGCACAGCAATTACGATGTCTTGCTATTCTGTTGCAGCCYTCTTAACTGAGAAGGATTCTGCTTTGGCATTTGCTGCCCTGGGTTGGGGAGGCAGTGGCTCCAGTGGAATTAATACTATTTTGTACTAATAAAACAATGAGAGAAGTACTTTCAGTATCTTATTTAAAACAAATTCTTAATGCTTCTACTCAAGAGTCTTCAGCCTTGAGAGAGGAATGCTAGTAGAGCAGTGCTTTCCAGGAGTGATTCTATCGCCATCACATCAGTTTAATTTTTTGTGGTCTGTTTCCTCTCACGAGATATTTACGTGTATATGCAAAAGCTTGCAGATATTTACCCTTTGCCTTTTGTTATCTTAACCTCTCCCAAACTGAAAGCATTGAAATTATCTTAGACTATATATCTAGTGCTACGCTTGTGTGCCCTATATAAAATTCTTCTGTTGTATATCTGTCTCTTCCAGATTTGTGAAACTTATCCTAAAGAACTTTATGTTCCTAGAACTGCAAGCAAACCTATAATTGTTGGTAGCTCCAAGTTCAGAAGCAAAGGAAGATTCCCRGTGTTGTCTTATTATCATAAAGATAAAGAGGTATAATCTGTATTTCTCAATATCCACCAGTAGCTCAGGACAGGAAATGAGGAAATAAGTATACTAACTTATCTATAGGAGGATGGTACAACTCATGATAACCTTAAATACAACTAACCTGAGTGGTGTCTAAGCTGAGGTATGCTAAGCCAGTTAAAAAAAAAATCTTAAGTAATCAGTTGAATGTCTTTAAAGCTTTCAGAAATAGTCTTAAGATAAACTGAAGATAGTTTTATTTCAAGTGTTCTGTCTTGGTAATAAATAAGCAATGGAATGTTAGATCAAAATGGAGGCAGAGAGAAACCAGAGAAAAAAGGCTAGAACACCAAATGAGGTGACAATTTCCAGGTTTAAAAAGAAGTCTAAAGACTGAAAAATCAAATTCTGTGGGGTTTGACAGAAAGTAACTTTCTGTGTGAAGCAGCAGCTGCCTGTCACAGCTGGTGGGCCTTTTTAAGAGGAGAGCGTGGTTGTCACCTTGTCAAGCTGGGCATTTGTGAAAAAAGAATGTAAAACTAATTGATACATTTGGGGCTGGCTGCTAATTGGAAGATCTACCGTATATCAGCTGAAATGGAATGCTATAATAGAAAACAAGGTTGAAAATTACTTTGTTCAATAATATTAATAAAAAAAAAAAAAGTGTTAACAGCATTCATTGTATACCTAGTACTTTATTTTCATAAGTGCTTCAAAGAAAGGCATGAAACCATTGTTAACGTGTTCTTTGATTTCTGTGGCAGGCTGCAATTTGCAGGTGCAGTCAACCTCTTTCAGGTTTCAGCGCGAGGTGCCTGGAAGATGAGCACATGTTGCAAGCAATCAGTAAAGCAAATCCTTCCAATCGCTTCATGTAYGTCATGGACACCAGGCCAAAGGTGTGTGCTTCCATGGGCTGCTCTTTCTTTTCGTTTCAAGTGTTAGAAGAGGGTACAGGGATATTTAGGATTTGTAAAGATTTAGAATTAAATACAAATCTCCTGGGCCAAAGTACTTTTTAAAAGGTGAATATAAGTCTTTCAAGCAGTAAATGCTTCCTTTCTTGAACTGGATCCCTCAGGACTTGGCTGGAATTCCTTCAGTACGTCCATGATTTGGGGGGAAGTTGGATTTAAATATAGTACTTTAAAYATGGGCAAGGGCAAACTAACACTCCATTTTGAGCATCATCTTGGAGTAAGATTCAAGTCAGCTTTATTTGGGCTGAGATTCACAGAGAAGTGGTGAGTTAGATTATTTTGAAATGGAAGGGAGGAGTGTTCTGTGGGAGTGCAATTTGAAAGCTGCTCTTATCTCACTAGGGAAAAGAAGGGSAAATTCAAAATCTGTTGTAACAGTGTGAAGTCATACTTGAACACTGCCAACTGATTTTTTTTTTTTTTTTTTGGCTTATTTTTGAGCTGTCATGTGATATATGGGATCATTTTCACTTCAGACTCTCATTTAGACTGGTACTCATTGCATTTAAATCTCCCTGAACACAGAGGCTGGAAAGGAAGGATGTGAAGCACAAGTCCTGCCCTGTAGCATCTTAGCTATATTAAGCAGATTGCTGCAGTTGGTCTGATGGGCAAACTGAAATTGTGCCACCTTTAGGTTTTTTGAGTGTTGTACTTTTTATAGCTGCCAACAGTCTATTAGCTTGTTTCCAGAAAAAAAAAAATCTAGTGGATTTTTTTAGGATGCCTGAAAAGTGTGTGTGTGTGTGTGKTTAAGTCTGSATAAGTCTTTTTAGCTTATGTTAACCGTGTAGCAATCACTGCTTTCAGAAATGCTTTTTCAATAAGCAACTGTTTGTGGAGATATGGAGGCTACAACAGGAAAATACTAAAAGCATTAATCAGAGTTGTCAGTTTTCAATATTAAAAAGCATGCCTTGACAGTGAGGGTGACAGGGCCCTGGCACAGRCTGCCCAGGGAGGCTGTGGAGTCTCCTTCCCTGGAGATCTTCCCAACCCGCCTGGCTGCCACCCTGTGCCYCGTGCTCTGGGTGTCCCTGCKGGAGCAGGGGGTTGCACTGGGTGATCTCTAGAGGTCCCTTCCMACCTCARYCCTCCTGTGWTTCTGTGATCAGGCAGCCTATATAGTACTTATTGCCTTACACTTGTTATATGTGCTTGTCTTTTCAATTATTGAAATTGCTTGACTTAGATTGTTAGGCAAAATGAAATGGAAGCCAATTATCACTTTTCAGTTTTTCTATTTTACTCTCTTAAGCTTAATGCAATGGCAAACAGAGCTGCTGGGAAAGGCTATGAAAATGAAGACAACTACTCTAACATTAGGTTCCAGTTTGTTGGAATTGAAAATATTCATGTAATGAGATCCAGCTTACAAAAACTGTTGGAAGGTAGGTTCCAATTGTAATATAATAGTGTGTGTGCACTATATATTTTTATATTTATATAAATATAAATTTAAAAAACAGGATGAGTGCTCTTCCGAAGTCTTAGATACCTGTGAAGGAAAGTAGGGTGGCACATCTGTTTTGGTGAACTTGGTTGAATATGTCAGCATCTTGCAAGAGATTTCTGCATCAGATGATAATATTTGTGTGTGTGCATATGTGTAAAATTGCATGTGTATATTGTGTGCATGTGTATATAAATATGTAAAATGTAGGTTTGTGTGTGTCTGTATAAAGTTTTCCAGTCCTTCAAGCAGCACTTACTTGCACAGAACTCATATATATATATACTTCCTACTATATATATTTATATACACACACTACGTGTGTGTGTGTGTGTGTGTRTTTTTATATTGTGTGTATGTATATTGCATGCAAGCATTGAACTCTGTGGCCTGGCAAGTGGCACCTGTGCTCATAGGTGTATCTTGTATGGCGTTTAAGGAAAGTGAATCAGTTACAATTACCACTGTCAGCTAGAGGATGGTAAAAATGAAATGTTAGATATTTCCTATTTCCATCTTGATATCTTGCTTTGTAGTTCTGTTAACATTTTATTTAGATTGAAGGGCTGAAAAAATACCACTGTTTTTGTATAATAATGTTTGGTTTATAAGTGTACACAGCACATAGATGTTCRTTTTTTTGCAATTTTTAATTTTTACACTCTGAAATTTGGCAAAAACGAAATGTAGCAACTTGTCCCAAGTTTCAACTGTGCCTTCAAACACTGTTCTTTGTGTGAGGGTGCTATTCCCATTACTTGCTGSTTTGTGGGATATCGGAGGGGAAGAGAAGAGGGGAATGGAATCATCTCCCTCAAAAATGTAGGAAATGAGTTCAAAGGTCTGAAAATGTAGGGAGGCAGTTAACAGATGGCTCTTSAGGTTCTTGTAGGCATGTGCTGTCAGTGAGGTTGCTTGGAGGAAAATGCTATGAAAAGGGCTCATAAGTTCAGGTAGGCGAGTGCTGCTGGGCTCTTGAGCAGCAGCTTTCCCCGGTCGTGCTGAGCAGAGTGTTCTTGAGCTGGGAATGTGCTTCCAGTGACCCTATTCTTTCAAAACTCATYGTAATTGGAACTATCTCCAGTTTTGTTCACAACAAACAGCAGTTCTCTTTCGGGCTTGTGGCCTGATCCTTGGCTTTCTGCTTATCTGTCTGAGCTTGTAGTTTACCAGAAGTGTAACTTATTTTCACAATAACCTCTCCTGGTCTATAGCAGGATCTAATGAAATAAATAAGAAGATATTTGTTTATAAGTAGAACATGAGACAGTCCTTCCCACGCCTCTCTGGAATGGGGCCACACCATGGAGCATGTTACAGGGGTTTGCAGCCTGTTCTTTTGCTCCAGTTCAGTTTTCCTTAGAGATTCTGCAYGCAGTGAGGCAAAACTCTAAAATATTCATCTCCGATGTGGGCACGATGATTTTATTCCTAACGATGGGCAGTGGTTCAGTCTGCTTGTTCAACACTGGTAGAAGAATCCTCACATAGAGTAAGCTATKGAAGATACTGAATCTGGAAACATCCAGTTTCCATACTGTGCATGCAAGAAGACATCATTACTTGTCAGAAAAGCTTGACAAGCGAAAAGGCTTTGCTTATATCGAGAAAAGACATTTCTGCAGGATGTGTGCAGCCATGTTGAGGGATGATAGTGATTCAGGAGGGTATCTTCTTCYGTCTCCGCTCCCTGCCTTCTATGGGTACCATAAATCATCTTCAGCCCTTTTGGGGACCGCTAGAGACTGGGAGTGATTCTAMCACATAAAGAATTAAACTCATATTACTGCAATTTATTTCATCACTAAGGAATTTAAAACATCCTTATTAATTCCCAGAAACGGGGAATTGTTATTTGTTAGTTTTGCATTGGCTCATGAGACCATAGAAGTCTAGCTAGGAGGAGAAAATGTCACAGATGAAATGCTTATACYAAGCTGGAAATACTGATCAAAGGCCAGGTTTGATAGAAATATCTAGGTGAGAGCAAACTAAGGGCTGAAAACCTGTTTATTTTCTCACTGAGAACTTAKGCTGATGCTTTCATGTCTTGGCTGATCCCCCCTTGTGGGGCAGACCTTTCATGGGGAAATCTCTTGCGTGGTGCTAGTGCTTTTTCATCAAAGGCCAGAGCAAACTGAACACAGGCTTTGCTGGTTTTACTGATATTTGATAGCTCTAGGCTGCTGTTTAACATGAGGTTTTGTGACCAGGGGGTTCTTCTGTCTGTTTTGTTGAGAGTCTTTACGAAGAGCGATGCTTTATTGGGTTGGGAGTTTGTTACAGCGCYGAGTGGCAACAGGCGTCGCAGATCTTCTGGTCAGCGGGGACTCTGCTATAACCCGTGTGGCCGGGAGCTGGGAAACACACGGACGTGGCCTGCAGATGCAGGAAGGCTGCAGGACTAGGGGTTTYTTGGGAGCCTTCCTTGCTGCCTGGGACTTGAGTGAATGTGAAAATGAGTCTCAGGATGACTTGGTGACCTTTATCCACCCCTCTCTGTACTGACTAATTTCCTCCTGTACCCAGAGATGARGATTATTTTGCAACTTGCATATGAATGGCCTCGCTGTCAGCTTTCTGGTGTTTTTGTTTGTTTTTGTTTCATTTGGAGCTTTAGCCTGGTAGAAGATAGTTTTTCCTGGTGGCAGTAGGAGGTGCTTTTGTAGGTAGCAACTTAAGGAATTAAGGATTTTTCTCTTAGGATCATGCAAGTATATTAGCCAGGGAATTTATTTTAATGCCACAAGTTCCTGATTGGAACAGTAATGTTARACTCTGGGAGCTGGGGATGGAAATGACTAGTGAAAAGCAGTTTCTATCTGATAGATACTTGGTGTGCTACAAAATTCAGGCTGCTCTGTCTTTTTGTGAGTGGGTGACCACCCACGCGAGCCCCATGGGTCTACCTCTGTAACCATTGTTGCTACACTGGGAGGCAGCTTTCCTTTAATTCTGGTTTTCCTTTTCCTGCCCCTTCCCTTAGCCTCAGCCTTTAAGGTTCAAAGCCCACCCTTCCAGAGTAGGAGAGGCTTCGGGATGGGAGTTGTAGTGGTCTCGAGAGACACAAAACTTGCTCCATGGGGCTTCTGCTTCCATTGCTGWCCCCATCCTGCACTCGCTGTTCTGCCCTGTCTGAGGGTCTGCCCTGTCTGAGGGTCACTGCTTGGTTGCAATGATAATAATAGCCTGTAAATATTGCTGGCAAGCTCATAAGCTTGCACTTTATCTTTTTGGTAAAAATAAATGAATGCCAAGATCTTATTCTTGTCCTTTATGGCCCTTATAGTTCTGCAGAGCTGAGTTTTAGTTGGGGAGCATATTTTGTATTGCCTCCTTCATCCCTTCATGAGTTTTCCTAAAAGATGCTTCAAATCCCCTCACAATCTGTGTATTGTTGTCAATACGCTTCTCCCATTGCTGAGCAGAGGAAGCTGCAACTTTGTAGAGCTTTCTAACTCTGCTGGTTTCTTCYAGTGAGTGGTACGAAGGGTTTGTCTGTCAACGACTTCTTGTCTGGTTTGGAGAGCTCTGGATGGCTCCGTCACATCAAAGCTGTCCTGGATGCTGCCGTCTTCCTTGTCAAGGTAACTTGGGGGCTGCGCCTTTCTCGGGGAGCACAGGGTGACTCGATCCCTGGCAAGGTTAAGCTTAATGTTGGAAGTGTAAAATTCCCTAAATGCAGTCATCTTTAGTTCACTTTACTGACCTATTTTTGGAGAGAAGGAGAAGCTTGAAATAAAACAGCATACCTGACATGTCCATGTGTAAGTATTGCATGTTTCTGAAGTTAACTGCAAAGTTATTGAATGTGCTGGCTAAAGTTTGAGGTTTATTACATGCTGTTTGAGTTACTGACGCATGAGGGGTCCTTTATGCTATTAGTTCTCTTGGGTACTTGTGAAAGATGCAGCCAATTTGCAGGGAAGCGGRGGAAACCAGCTTCATTTAGATGATGCTGAAGAACAAGTTATGAGGTCCTAATTGCAGAGAGGTCAAACTGGCTGCATGCTGAGTAATTTGGCAAGGAGATGGGACTGTATATGGAAAAATCCAAGAAACTATGGCCTTTTCAGGCAGCTATGAAGCAAACATTTTTATTTTTGAGGGGAGTGATAGAGCGTGCTGGCCTCTCTCTAACTAGCTGAAACAACAAGATTTATGTTAAAGTGGGGTCTTCTAGAGGTGACCCACCAAATTACTGCATTGACAAGATTTTAATTCTCAGTTGGAGGTAGTGAGCACTTCCTTGTCCTTTTATATTGATTAACAAGCAGGTATTTTTTGTCTTATACATCTTGCTTGGTCTGTAATATGTCATGTGCTTTTTTTCTTCAGTATTAATAGAAAACGTATTTAAAAATTTAAGAGGATAAAAAGAGAAGTGGGGCCCACTGTGTAGAAGTTGCTGTTGCTTTCCACTGTGACCTTTGYACAAGATATTTCTTTCCCTTACAGAGTGTTTTCTGCATTTCACTGGAGAAGAGTTTGTAGTTTTCTAATTAGTATCTAATCTTTCCTCATAAATATTTTTCTTTTGTCTGTTGAAATGGGCAGTGCTGAGAGTTTGCAATAAATGTAGCTTTYGTAATTATTTACTAAATTCTAACATCTACCTTGAATATTCACTAAAAACAATGATGTTTTGCTTTGCAGGCAATAGCAATTGAAAGTGCTAGTGTGTTAGTGCACTGCTCAGATGGCTGGGATAGAACTTCCCAAGTTTGTTCCCTTGGAGCTCTCCTACTAGATTCCTATTACAGAACCATTAAAGGCTTCATGGTAAGCATGCTGTGTATTACTGATTTGCTTCTTGGTAAATCAGGATGTAAAAGGTAAACTATGCTAGTAGGAGTGAAATACTAACACTTTTCCCCCATACTTTACTGTTTTTTTTCTTGTTTGTTGTTAATTGCTTATTAGTTGCTGTAAACCTTTTGCAGCAAGTGAGGTCTTGCTTTACACGCAGTAAAGCAGTAAGCCTGGTTTACAGCAGTTGTCAATCTAAACTCGGTTCTGCTGGGGTTTATAAATGTGCTTGTATTTAGTACAGTTAAACTAGATGGGACTTTGACAATCTGCTGCAAAGGAATCTTTCAAGAAAAGGCACTACCTGCCAAGTGACAAATACTTGCCTTTATTGTAATTAAATGACTCAGAATGAAAACACAATATGCAGATAGGTTATGAAGGTAATACTGCAGTTATAAGACTTAATAATATTACTAAGAATGCTGTTTTTCCCTTCTAGGTCTTGATAGAGAAGGATTGGATTGCTTTTGGGCACAAATTCTCTGACAGGTAAATCACTTTTCCAGTAACCAAAAATGTCTGTGTGTACACATTTCAGCTCCTTCAGTGAGCTGAAGGATAAATATTCCAGTAAGAGTCACTTAACATTTTACATTAATGTTTATGTCCTTCTGTACTTAAAAAGCKTATGGAATTAACATACTTAAACTACTACAGTGTTCCTGGAAACTCTGCAATGAGTAGACTGGTATCAGTAGGCAGTGCACTATGTATTTTACATCTGAACATTTGTTGAAGTACCTGTTGGATAATTGTTTTATAGAACAAACACATTTCTTGAGCTACTGGTTGCCTGCTCTCGGATGTTGATGACAGCTGCTGGCTCTGCACACGTGCTGAGAAAATGCAAGACCAATCCCAAGCCACCTTCCAGTCACTTAGGCAACATAAAACACAGTTTCAAACTTTTGATCTTTTTAAAATGAGCTTGTGTTTACCTTTGATTTTAATGTTGAAATAATGCCTAGCTTGAAATGTGCTATATGCTCAAAGCTTTTCTTTTTTTTTCCCTCACCTCATCTGACTTGCAGCAGCTACAAGAATAGCCTTACTACTATATATGTTACTTCTAGTTGCCATACTCCTAATGTTTACTATAGAAATAATAGACAACAAAAGACACTCTTAATTTTGTCTAGTGTTAATTTTCTGTACTGAATCCAGAGGCAGGGGAGGGGAAATCAGAAAGATAGCCTAAATATGGACTTACCTAAAAATTGCTCCAGTTTTAAGCTAGGTACCCTGTCTCCAAACCAGAACTAGTATCAAAATACCGCTGTCTCCAAACTAAAACTAGTGTCAAATTGATGTAGGGTAGTTAAAGGTAAGTCGTTTTTTTTGTCTGTAACTTAAACTGTTTTGTTCTTTTTATGGAATTTTTGTAGGTGYTGCCAGTTGGATGGTGACCCAAAAGAAATCTCACCAGTGTTCACGCAGTTCTTGGAATGTGTGTGGAATCTGATGGAGCAATTCCCTCAAGCCTTTGAGTACAATGAAGCCTTCCTCCTTCAGATCCATGAGCACGTCCATTCCTGTCAGTTTGGAAACTTCCTTGGAAACTGCCAGAAAGAGCGGGAAGAGCTAAAGTAAGCACATCTATTGAAGTGTGTCTTGCCTCTTTTTTTTTTTTTTTTA